AAAGGAAAGGAAAGGAAAGGAAAGGAAAGGAAAGGAAAGGAAAGGAAAGGAAAGGAAAGGAAAGGAAAGGAAAGGAAAGGAAAGGCATGAATATTACAAAACAAAAAAATTGAGATAGTGTACATATGAACCTTATAATGTGATGTGATTTTTCACATCTTTTAAGAACAAATATTTGATCTGTGTATTTGAATCTGTGACACTTTCACATTTAAATATTATGGGGTTTGGTGTTAACTTCAGCATATTTTTCTGAAAAATCATAGACTTCAGAAGTTGATGAGGAATTTCTGTGATTTAAACTAAAATATATCGTGAGTATAAATTAAGTTCTTGAAAAGTATGCATGCTCTCCTGCAAAAACTCACATGCCATTGGCCTTTTCCTTGAAGGTGAGTGGTACCAGCTTCCTCTTTTCTGTGGAGGAAATCGGGGTCTCCCTTCTGCCCTCAACCACTTTCCCCTTGCTGGCCCTCTGGCCGGGTGCTGCTTCTAAACCTCTTAGAAATAGGAAGGGCATGTGGAATTGCTGGGGTCAGTTCTGAAGTCAGTTTCTATGTAACCTATAGGATTTCATATATGCTGGTTAGCACTCTGAGCCCAGATAGAGTAATTATATGCTTCTTTCTGATATGAATTATTTTCATTTGTACAGTATTACATATATATATTTTTTTTTCTTAGTTATTCTAAATCAGTGTAGAGTGCAAAGTTCTAGACATACACTTCTTGTAGTTATGAAACCACTTAGTTAAATTACACCTCTAAAAAAGGGGATTTGGGTCCACTCCTTCCCAGTTAAAATAGTGTATGAGGTGGTTCATCCTTGAGATACAGAAGATCATGTGCTAGAGGGTAGGATACCAGCTGGGAGAACTGGGAACTAGGCTGTATGCTTTTTCCCCACGGAGAGAGTTGATTGGTATTTGTTTTATGATTATTTTTTCCTGCAGCGAATTTCAGTATTTGCAGGAATTGGTTCCATACAGAATAATCTCTGCATCAGAAAACGGGCTGCCCGTGCACCCTTCTCCTCCACACACCCTGCTCTCCTTTCTCCCCTGCATCTCCAGCAGTAATTCTGCCGGGGACTTTGCTGTGACTGGGGGTCCTTCAGCAACGAACTTTCTTGATGCTTCCCGAAAGCATTCATGGGCGCTTACTTCCTGCCGGAGCTGGCTGTGAATGGAAAAAAAAAAAAAAAAAAAAAAAAAAAAAAAAAAAAAGCCCAGAATAATTCGCGTTTTTCTGGAGGGGAAAAAATATATTTCCCATGATGGGGGCGGGGGGGGGAAACCGAAACCCCAAAAGGGTTATTTCCCAGCGCCTCGCACGCTGAGCTCTAGGAATGAGTCAGGGCTCTCAGTGCTGCCGCAGCCGGCTGAGCCCGCGCCCGTGCAGCGCCGAGCGCGGCGGGGCCGGGCCGGGGCCGGGGCCGGGCCGGGCCCTGCCGGGACCCCCCGGGGCGCTCGCCCCGGGCCATGCCTGGCCGCGGCGCTCGCGGCGACCCTTGCGGTATGCGGCTGCCTTTGGCAGGGGCACATGAAGGATTTCATTGAGTGTGAAGACAGAGAGCAGAGACAGAAAGCAGAAGGAGGCGGCTGCAGCCTTTGTAGTCGGGGAGGAATGCGGAAATGTTGAAGCACTATGTCAAACTTTTTTGAAACGGGGTCAAGTCACATTCAGCCAGCGTGGGAAAGCAAGGGAAAAAAAAAGTTGAGGAGAGGGGGGGAAAAAAAAAAAAAAAAGGCAGCAAGCTGCTGCTGCTCCCAGGCAGAACAGAGGCCGGGGGAGCGAGCGAGGAGCGGCAGCGCAGCGCCGGGGCAGCGGCGGAGCGGCGGCGGCGGCGAGGGCCGGTGCCCGAGCCCCGCACCGCAGGCTGCGGCCGGCGGGGCTGCGATCGTGGCGCTGCAGCTCCCCGGGGGCCGCCGGCCGCGATTTTTATTTCGCGTTTTCCTTTTCCCCGGGCAGGGTGGGGGCGGGAGGAGCGGGCTGGGGGACGAGTGCGAGCTCCTTCTGCGCCAAGGTGCAGCCCTGCGGCGGCAGGAGGATGCGAGCCGAGGGCGGCCGAGCCGCGGATCAGCTACCTGTGTGGCCCGGGCGGCCGCTGCCGGGACCTGCCGGAGACATCGCCATGTGAAGGGGCAGACCCCGGGCCGGCTCTCCACCCCGCCTCGCTCAATGGGAGGTTTGTGTTAGAGAGGACTCACCCCTTCCCTCCCCCCCTCCACCCCCCGGGGCTGAGGATTATTTGGGGAACTGGTGGCGGTGCAGGCGGCCGTGGCGCACACCAGGTAACGCGGGGCGCCCATGTGCTCCGCGCACCCGGCTCCGCGGCGTGGCCCACACGCCGCCCCCTCCCAGCCCGGCCCGGGAGCCCACACCGCGCACCCCCCCTCCCCGCGGGCGGCACCGCGGACGCGTCCCTTCGGCGGCCGGGCCGGGGCAGCGCGCCCCGCGGGTCGGTGCGGGGGCGCGGAGGGGCCCGCGGGGGAAGGGGTGCCCTCAGGGGGAGCCGCCGGGGGGGTCCCCTCGGCGCCCTGCCGAGCAGCGGAGCCGGGCCCCCCTCTTCGCTCCGTCCACTGAGAGGAAGCGCGGGGACGCGACTCCCCGCGTGTCCCCCGCCGCCACCCCCCGCCGCCTGCAGGGCGCCCGCGGAGGGGAACTCGGCGGCGCGGCGGGGGCAGCGGCGGCCGGGGGCAGCCCCAGTGCCCCGCCGTGCCCGGGGAGGGCGAGCACGGGTAAGTTTCCACGCGGCCGCGCCGGGGCAGAGGCCCGCCGGCCCCGCCGCCACGCACGCGCGGCGCCTCTGCCCGCCGCTCGGGGGCGCCCTGCCCGCGGCGCGGGGCGGGAGGGGGCGCGGGCGGCCGCGCCGGGGGTCGGGGCGGGCAGGGATCCCCGCACACCGGGCTCGGGGCGGACAGGGATCCCCCACACACCGGGTTCGGGGCGGGCAGGGATCCCCGCACACCGAGCTCGGGGCGGGCAGGGATCTCCCGCACACTGGGCTCGGGGCAGGCAGGGATCCTCCGCACAGCCGGCTCAGGCAGGAGTCTCCCGTCTCCCCCCCCCCCCCCCCCCCCCCCCACGCCGGGCTTGGGCATGATTCTCCCCCTCTACCCCCGGCTCGGGCAGGGTCCCCCCACACGCCGGGCTGGGGGCGGCCCCCCGCGGTGGCCCGCGGTCGGTGTCGCCCAGTGATGCTGCAGGCGGGGGACGCGGGGCTGCCCGGTGGCTGGGGCGGTGCGGTGCCGTGGCAGCTGTGCTGGGAACTGAAGCCGGCGAGGCAGAAAGCCGCCTCTGGCTGCAGCCGAGGAGAAGGGATGAGCAGTGGGCGCAGGTTTTCTTCAGATTGCGCTTTTCATCTCCAGCTAAGGTGTAAGATCAGCGTAAGTGTGTGGAATAGCCCTGGCGCTTTGTGCTTGTATTCCAATTAAGAGATCCCCGACTCACCTATCTAGGACTCATTCATCCTAACACGGTAAAAATGTGGTGTAGGAGAGGGCTACAGTCCTGGAGGTCACTGTATCAGTCTATTAAAAAGGGTCATGGGGAAGGGAGGAATTGGTGTGGAGCTTTGTGAGGAAAGAGGATTTGCCCAGTCCTGCAGAAAGTGGATGAAACTGGATATAGAAGGAAGTGCTTCTGCTCTCCAGCCTCATGAACTCTGCAGCAGAGCATGCTGTTCCTGAAGACATCTTCGACCATGCTGCTTTGCAAAGAGTTGCCAGTGACACATGTAGCAGTATCCACAGCCAACACCCTTCTTTGCTAATAATTGCTAAAGTACCTATTTCTGAATCTATTTCAGCACACAGTCCTTCATAACGTATTATTGTCATCTAAATGTGCATGTATTTCGCCTCTCCGCAGGCGTGTTGTTTCTTGCAATGTGATCATGATCTGTTCATGAAGGACTTAGCACAAGAGAGACCAGACCAAGGCAGAAACCTCCAAATGCTGTTATTTACAAGCAAGTGACAGTAATATAGCAAAATACATATCCAGACTCCAGTACATGCAATGGAGTAAACCTTTGAGTCCTGAAATCCTGACGTAAGTTCTTGGACGTACGCTTCCTCTCACACATGCCTAGTTAGCTCTGCCATCCCCATCACCCATGTGTCACAGGGTCATCATCTTTAGCCAGTTCTCAGTAAAACCCCTCAGCATGCTGTTGCTCTGTAGCCGAGTGCCTGGCCTTCTGTGCAGACCATGATAACTTTGTAGTGTATCAGCCACTTGGGGACGTTGATACATATGTCACCCTCATGGTTCACATCTTCCTTTCCACCACGATTTTGCTGTGCATATCTGTATTAGCTTAATTTTAACAGGTTTTGAACAATGCAAATCATTAAGTAAAGTAAACTAAACTCACTTTTCTTGCTTGGTTTGTCCTCCAGATTTGTTTGGCTTTACACAGGCAATGCTCCCAAAGACTGTATGATAATTCCTGGTGGCCGAAAGAGGAGGCACATTCTGGCCAGTACAGAAAAGGAGCAAGAACAGGAGGGCAAGAGCTTCCTACTGCCTCTCTGGCAGAGGTACCAAGTGCCTGTCTGCACCCAAGCAAATTACTGGTTTTCAGAAAGTAAGTGAGCCTGAGAGCCACCTCGAGGCACTTGGAGAGGGAGAAGAGGACTGGTGCCAACATGGATAAGGACAGCACAAACCTGGCTGACCAGCAGTATGAATGTGTGGCTGAGATTGGGGAAGGAGCCTATGGGAAGGTGTTCAAAGCCCGAGACTTGAAGAACGGAGGTCGCTTTGTTGCGCTGAAGCGGGTACGGGTGCAGACCAGCGAGGAGGGGATGCCACTGTCCACTATCCGAGAGGTGGCGGTTTTGAGGCACCTGGAGACATTCGAACACCCCAACGTGGTCAGGTGAGGAAGTGGGACCAGTCTCCTGATCAGTGGGGTCCTGGGTTTAGTATGTGAATTGGGTGAGCAAGAGTTTGGGGGCATAAATGGAATGGACACTAGTTTGGGTTTGTGGCTGAAGTGAGCGCTAAACTGTGTGCATGAAGTGTGGTTTGAGGTTTCAGCAGGCCATGGTGCTGCCTGCCAGACCTCACCTCATCCCTGTGCATTGCCTCCCACACACACAAACACCCATCTCCAGAGGCATAGGTGTGTGATTTAAGTGTTGGAGTGGATGGGCAAGGAGCCATATATATACTATTTCCTCAGGCATGAGAGAAAATTTTAAAAACCCCAACCTCTCCCTGCTTTTGTCTGAACTATTAGTACTGCCAGCTGCAGCTGATTTTTAGCAGCTCTGTATAAAAAAGGCAAGAATGAGAGCAGTAGTGGAATGTGCATTCTGCCTTTTTAGATGCTTTTATACCAAGCTATAGATTATCATGTTAAAGAGAAGCAACAGCTTAAGACTTCAAGCTTTTCAGGCTGCCTTGTGGTTGAGTACTGTTTGGTACTAATTTTGACCACGAGCTGCTGATTGTGCTACCAAGAGGGCAAAAGTACAGATGTCAGACCTTGCTCGCAAAATGGTGGCAGTGGCCCCAGGATGTCCTTTCTGTTGTGTCAATAGCATAAATCCTGGATAAATGGCCTGTGCTGTCAATGATAAAGCTAGCCCTACTGTACCCTCCTACATTCTTCTGTAGCTAGAAACCTTCAGCAGCCTGTGAGCATCTTTTATTGAAATTATGGACTTTAAGAAGCAAGTTTCACTTTGCAGATACCCAGACTGAAACTGGTCAGTATCTTGCTGGTGGTGCCATATTAGCAAGAGTATTTCCCATTCTTTGTGTTACTTATGCATATATTACACAGCAAAAGGAAAACATTTTTGTTCACTCTTTCAGTCTTAGAGAAATAGATACTCTGAATTTATAGGTGAATTTTAAATTGCATTGCAGGTATAATCATCCTTTTTTGTAGGGTCTGAGATCAGAGGGTGTTTATTAGGTGCAGGGGGAAAGATGAGACAGAGAATGATATTGAAATTACGAGAGTCAATCGCTAGAGATGAATTAACTTTTGTTCATTTCAAGGCAGTGTAATGTGACAGACTCCTTTATGTCAAAACTGAATAGGCAAAGTGCATGTATTCTGAAATGCTGATCATGGAGTGCATGTCATCGGTCTCACTTTAGTGAGCAATGGGATACATACAGACTGCAGCTCACATTTCCATTGCTCATCAAGCAAATCCACAATTCAGTTAATAACCATTATTTTGACTGGCATCTAGAGGCTTACTTCAAAAGTGGGCATCATATGCTTAATCACTGAATCAAGTGGCTTGGTTAAGAGGAGCACACATATAGTTCTTCTTTGGCAGTAGAGGGATAACTGGGAGTTGTGAAAAATCTTTGAAATGCAGCCCATTAGTTTATGGGAGAAAATAAGGATTTAGTTGTCCAGGTTTAGGCATTTGTATATTTGAAAGCTACATCTTGTTTTGGAATAACTGAACATAATACTTAACCTTTTTTTCTACCACTGACATCTTCCCACATGATGTAAAAGATTTTTTTAAGAGCTTTCTAATCTTGAATGCAGCTAAATAATGAAAATAGAGTTCTTGTTTTCCAAAGAGGTGTTTGATCAATTGACCATGCAACTGCAGGCTTCTTTTGCTTGATTTAAGTGCAGTTGAATATCAACAGAGCATTGCATTAATACATTGAAGCCTCACATATTGTTACAAGCTTGAAAGAAAACTAATTCTCTGCAAAGCAGTGAGTATTTCAAACAGCAATATGAGAATGTAATTTCAATATAAAAATCTGTGAAAATATGTTCCAGGTCCTCATAGTGGTGTTGTGAAGCCTGTACCTTTTGCCATAAACAACATTTCAGACGCAAGAGGCTGGTTGATAATGTATCAGGGTGCCTGGGATATTGTTTGCACACATTTTTCCACAAAAAGGCAGAAGATAAGCAATTTCAAACATTATATATTCTAAAATGTAAGGAGTGCTATTCAAAAACCCAGGTATTTCGTCGATATTTTTAATCTGTAGAGCAGATTAGGATCCCTCTGGAGTGACCAGAATCATATCCTTCAAATGGAAAAAATACTTGCAAACATTTAAATGGCCCACTTCTGTTACAAAATATGGTAGAAGAGTTTGAAATTTATTGAAATTAAACATCTATTTCTGTATTATGTAGATATACTCAGAAAAGGAAATACTATAAAAGAAGTTCTGCAATTTTAAGCTGCTGATCTAACTGCACTTACTTATTGAACATACTATGCTCAAAATATTTTGATTGCTTGGGCATGCATTCTGGAAACTGCTATCATGGCCAGGCTGATAAATAAAAACAATTCCAAATGCATTGTCTGCATACTGGATTAAAATGTACATTGTTTGCACAGCACTGGGATAACAGCACAAATACTTAAAGCCAAATATTTTTGATTTGGAGAGGACATTTAGTTTTTTTCTGAATATTACAAGTAACTATCCTGAGAGAACTATGTTGGAACTGCAAATACTGTGTTGATTCTGTTACCTCTGAGTAGTGGCATATGTGATCCATGAGTTGCTCAATGCAAACCAGCAGGCATTCAGTGAGTCAAAATTTAGACAGACTTTGTACAGACGAGCTGCACAGACCCTGTGCTCTTCTGTGGTACTCAGGCATCAGCTAACAGCAGAGATCTCAGGCCACATGCACTTAAGCTGAGTGCTCGGTGCTTTTCAACTCAAAGGGTAGCTCTAGGCTTCTCCAGAGAGTGCAGTAAGGGTCTCAGGTCTCAGCAGCCCAAGGCTTCTCTGTTGCCACAAAGTGATGCTAAATGTGAAGAACAGTTTGGTAAGGAAAGACCCAGTACTTTCTAGGCACAGGTAGAGCTCCATGGCTTTGCTGGTCATAGAGCAAGGATTCAGGACTAGCATTGCTACTCCAGCCCAGCATTGTCTTAACAGTTGTAGAGTCACTTCCTCTGAGAAATAGTTAGAGCCAAAATTGATTTCCAGTGCTTGGCACTAGGGTTGGAAGAGAATTTTCTCCATAAGGGAGAGATGTCTAAATAGCACACAATAATTTTAAACATAATATTTATCATATTTTTCCATGCCACTGCTTACTGATTATGAAAGCTTTGTTTTGTATTCCTTTGTTCCAAGTCTGTAATTTCCATATTTGTACGATGGAGAGATGCACTTTTCGCAGCACAGTTGCTTTTACAAAGGTAATGAAATTACATAAGACTTCACTGCAGAATAATGCAACACAGGGTTCAAGAAAAGAATCAAAGGGAAATATAATCTTCATCAGAACAGTGATGGTAATGAAAATCTCTGTACTGTAGTGGAAATAAGGAGGACTGATATAAAATTTTTAAGACAGACATGGGGAAAAAGCAGTTAAGATAATTGCTGTGTGCTTAAAATCCTTTCCTGTTCACATTTGCCCTTTTTATAGAGCTCCTCTCTGCCAGGACGCCTTATTCTATTTATTTTCACAAAACAAAGCTAAAAATAGAATCTTCAAGAGTAAAGCTTACTGTAAATCAATCTGAAAATAGCTATGTTGTGGGCTTGGAAAATTCCCTTGTAGCTGGTAGGATGATCAAGGTGCTCCTCTAGCTCACCTTTCAGATAATAAGATGTAATGCTTTTATAAAACTTTAATATATACAGTAGGTAAATCTGACAAAACTTGGTCCAGCACTCAGTGCTATTCTAGTTGGGAAAAATGAAATATATGTAGATAAAGAACAGACTTTGCCAGGAATAAATGACATATTAGATTCAGGAAATTCCTGTGTGTAAAACCCTGCAGCAAGATATCTGTAAAAATTCTTCTTGTGATTATTATGCTAAATTCAGCTGTATCTTGCATTTGTTTTATCTCTCTCCTGCTGGTAATCAGATGAATCATTTTCGCCATCTTCATCATCATCAAACTGTGAATTTGCACTCTGGGAAGGTGATACGCAAGACAGACTACTGTAGTTCTTGGCATGCTTGTTTTCTATCATATTTATCTTTACCAGTTTAAATAGCACTAAACCTTAAGCAAATTGAACAAAAATGCAAAGCTGTATATTTTTACTTCCTATCTCATAACTTTTCTTTTATAAATACAACTTCTTTAGTATTTTCTTGTTTTAGTAACTATTTAATTTTAAAATAATTGAAATTATTGAATATGACCTATTAAAATATAATCTAGTCTGGGTTGTTATTTCAAAGGTGTCAGAGATCTTGCCATTCAAAGTGATCAAAACCATGTAAGAGTTAAAAATCCTGATTCTCTCCTTCCTGTTACTTTGCAGAATATGTGCCCGAGTTAATTGACAGGTTCAACAGAATGATCCACCTAGCTGGAAGTCTAAATTTATTCCTCATTATTTTCTGTGTACAAATCAGTGGGGGGGAGAGCACAGTAATTATGACTATTTGCACAGTTATGCCATGTTCAAGCTTTTATGTTGTTTTATATCCATTGGACTATAAATGGCGCTGTAAACTGCTCTCTATGGTACAGCAGTAATGTCATGCTGCTTTTTCCCTGCTTCTGCAGTCCAGTGGTCCATGCTGGTGTCTCTTGGTTTGCACCTGAGTGCTTGGTGGACCCCATCAACAGATTGCCTTGGCAAGGCCACCTGAGTGCTGGGGAGAGAAGCTGGGGCACAGGTCACTCCCCCATCCTTGTGTGTGCTGACATAAAGACTAGCACTTGCTTGACCTGCTTAAACATCCCAGAATTGTGTAATTGGCTTGGAGCTTAAAATTTCCTTGTACATAGAAGGTCTTCTTTTAAGTGTTTTAAAGTTCACTGTCTAACCTGATGAAGCATTCAAAACATATCAGTAGCAGATCATCAATACCTAGTTAACCTTTTGGAAGACAATTTGAACATAAATTTGTTTTGCTTTTTTCTCTTTGTTAAACAGA